AATAAAAGATCATTATCATTATTGGTGAACAATCCCTTTTAATTAATGTGGGTCCCTCAACTCTGTAGTATAATAAATCACACAATCAATAAGTCAATAACTTATCCTGATGGAGGAGTTCATTATTACTATTGCTGAGATTCATTTGCTATTAGGCGAGCACTTCCATTAAAATAGTATGTGGGTCCCTTAACTACTGCATGAAAAATCAGATAACCAATACGCCAATAACTTCTTCGGTTGACAAAGTTCATTATTGTTATTGGCGGGCAAATCCCATCATTTCCATATCTCTTAAGACAATGCTTTGTCTATCATATGAAACAATTCCCGATTTTGTTTAGCCTTTCTAAAATCACCTAGTGTAGACCACTCCATTGAGGAGCTAACACTATTGATTTTAGATTGAGTGTATAATGTTATTAAAGCTCTAATGAAAAATAAAATATTAAATATCTTGTCATTATAATCTAGACTCTTTAAATCATGCGTAGGGTCTTATTTTTAAAGATCTAATTACAATGAATATTTAATATTTTTATTTTCATGAGACAACTATTCTTGTAATATTAAGACTCTTCAAATCATGCGCGGGGCCTTATTTTTGAAAATCTAATTACAATGGTTTTAATAACGAAGGCTATAGGGTAATGTATAAAAATCCCCGCTCCCACTCAATTTTTAATCATTCATAATTAGGATTTTCAATTTAATCATTTACATGATATAATGCATGTAAAACGCCTTGATCTTAATCCAATTAAATTTAGAAAATAATTGGACTTTTAAATGATTCACTAATATTTAATTTGAAACACACTTTAAAAAATAATTTAAAAATAAATTTTCATTTCCCAATAAGTGCTCTCAAATTAATTAGTAATCAAATCCAATTAATTTTCATAATTTAATTAATATAAATCAAGTCATTTAATTAAATATCATGGATCCAATGCATGAATAATAATAATAAACAATTAATTATTCCATACATCAAATAAATAAATAAATAACTGACAGAAGCAATTTAAATGGCCAATGGATTCAGTTTTTAATATTTAAATACTATTCTAGTTGTTCTAGCGACCACCAATAGCTTGTTTACACCTGTAGGGAGCTTGAACGCACTAGGAGAAGCAAAAAACAGTGTTTGGGAAGCGACCGAAGGACCCTGCATGCGCTGGCACGCGCTAGGGGGGTGTAGCAGCGCGTGGCACACGCTCCCACACGCATCCAAGCGCTCGCACACGCTTGGAAGGCGCTGCAGCGCTTGGTGTGCGTGTGGACTTGCCCCCACGCGCGTGCACGCTCGTGGAGGCTGAAAGCTTGCCTGGCGCGTCTTCAGAACATGCGCCAACAAGGTGCTACAGATCTGGCGTGTGCTCCTCACGTGCCGGAATGTTTCTTTAGTGCGTTGACTTCACGCGCGTCTTTATTGGTGCATTAGTTGTGCACCATGAACCTGCCCAAACCTGATCATTTATCAACCAAGTTATGATCCAACGGCTGATGATCCGGGTGTACTGCATGCTGGTGTACCACGCTGCACCGGATCGGCAGACCATACTCCGGCGCCTTTTTCACTGCCGGCAAAATCTAGGAAAAATTTAAAAAATTCCCAGAAATTAAATTTAAGCCTCAAAAAAATTCTAGAAAATTTTTGAAAAATTCAGAAAAATTACTGAAGCATAATTTAACCTTTTCGGACCCTCTTGAAACTTCATAGCATCCTTTAATGAAGATTACATGACTTTAATAAATATTTACAATTTGAAATACAATGGAAAAAATTAAATTACATCATTGAACTTTCAAACGTCTAAATCAAAGCCTTAATTACATTCATCCAAAGATAAAATTACATTCAAATAACCTATAAGCTTCATCCATGGCCCAAACACACATCATCATTCATTCACAATTATACATACATCATTATGCATCAATATATATCAATATATTAACATACATCAATAAAAATATATATGAATATACTTTTGGATCCATGAATGATGAATTTTGATAAAAACATGATCTCTAGTAATGAATCAAACCATGCTCTGATACCACTGTTGGGAAACGTGCTAGTTTTAAAAACTTTCTGAGGGATTTGTATACATAGATATTGATTCATCACATAGAGACAAGTTTTATGCAAAAATAAAATATGATGTATTATTCAATTAACAGATTGAATACTTACATCAAAGGTCTGAGTAAACCTTTAATTCTTTCCTTTAAAGTGAATGTTCTCACTTATTGTAGATCCTTTAGCAAGATGCCTTCTACTCGGATCTCCATCTTCTTGATAATTGTTTTGCCTTTAGGAATCACTCATAAGCCTCCATGAATGACCTTGGAAAACTAGGCTTGTGGGAGCCTCCATTAGATGAGAACATAAACCCTAATTTTCTAGAGAGAGAAAATATATTCCTTTTTCCTTCTCATCAAAGTCACCCCTAAAATATACATAGACCATGTATATATAGGCAACATAAAGATAAAGAAAAGGAAACAACAAATCCTTCTCAATCTCTAATTCACATGTCTTAAATCTAATACGATTCCAATATCAAGTTGGGCTATGAGCGAGAATCCTTTGGGCTTATTATTTTATTGACTACAATGAATTAATAATTGGCCCGGTCCATGGACCCAATTCAATTAATTCATAAATTAATTTTTATTCCACTAAAAGAAATTAATTGAACTCCAATTAAATAATAAATAACCTCTAAGTCAATATTGCACTTTGACCCCTCTATGTACAATTAGTTATCGGATAAATAAAGTCATCAATCCGACTACTTAATTAATATATTTTATTTTGGTACCATTGATTATTTCTGGCTTGATCACAATAAAATATTTATTTGACAAAAATAATAATTTAAATAAATAAATATATAATAAATCATGTTATCTAAAAATACACGAAAGCCTTCGAATTTACTTTGTGATCAATCATAATCAAGACAAAATAAATACAAGGAGCAATGATGCAAATATTGAAAATATAACTCTCTAACTATTAATTACATAACTACCCAAAGTGTCGGTCTAAGGATCCCGAAGAATCCGTCGAATAAATCAAAGTAATTATTAATTAATAAAAGAGTCTATACTTTTCTCATGCTTAAGAGTCAAATGCCATGACTGTGATAGTGAGCAATTGCATACGACGGCTCTTGCAATATATCTCAACCTAACGCGGATCCAATTCAAGCCTTAATTAATTATGAGTCCATCCATAATTACCGACTATGACCAATTTATGATTACTATTTATATTCATGTATTGATCGCCATCACATACATATATAAATATTTCTTATAATCAAGTGGATACTATCAATTCTATAATGAATCGAAATATAATATATTGAATTCACCAATTGTATAAAGCATAAATATTTCAGAAACGTCAGAAACATACGTCATTATAATCCAAATGGGAATTTGCTATGCCAGGGCATATAAATCCCAACACAAGGAACAAATTATAAATCAATTAACTTACTTACCCAAAAAAAAAAAAAAAAAAAAAAAGAAATCAGTTTCAATATTTTTATTATTATTATTTTTTTAAAAAAAATTGGTAAAAGAAAATTGTGTTTTGAACTTATGAATAAGGCAAAATGTTCAGATGGAGGGCCAGAGACCCAACCTAATGTTAATAGAGGCACCAAACAAAGCTGGGAACTAGAAACAAAGGCACAAAAGAAACCCAAGGAGAAGAGCAGGCAAAAGCCAAACAAAAATAGAACAGTCAGCTAAAGGACAAAAGCCTACACTTTCTTTTATTCAATAAATTTCTTATTGAATGACAGAAGAGCAGAGACATAAATTGCATCAAAAAATTAGAATATTGTTATATATGTTTGTGTCTTTGTGTGGGGTCCATCTGCAGTTGAAATGTGGTGCAAATATTGAGATCATTTTCAATGGCAGTATAGCTTATTCAATAAGCTGCTTGCTGCCCATGAATACAAGGCCTATAAATAGGCATTATGTGTATACAATGAAGATATAGAAATGAAAAACAATCAACTTTCTCTCTTTCTCCAGTTTCCGTTTTCTTATCTTTTCTCTCTATGAATATATTGCAAGCTCTTTTACTCTCTCTCACGTAATATTACTCTATATACATATTTATATATACATTTACAAGACGTTATCAATACGAGACTCTATCAACTGAGAAGAAAATTTTATTTTTCTTTCTTACTTCAAAGGGTAAGAAAAATAATTATTTATATTACACTGTTGTTGTTCAAACTTTACAAGACTCTATCAACTGAGAAGAAAATTTTATTTTTCTTTCTCACTTCAAAGGGTAAGAAAAATAATTATTTATATTACACTGTTGTTGTTCAAACTTTACAGATAATTATATTACACTGTTGTTATTCAAATTTTACATATAATTAAAATTGTTGAGCCTGCAGTCTCGCAAATACTTATTTATTTATTTATATATTTGTCCATTCTTTATAGAAAAATAAATTGCTGAGCCCGAAGTCTCACAAATACTAAATTATTTATATTTAATTGGCATACTCGAGTTAATATACTCTTTGTGAACCTGAAGTTTCCCGAATATTTGGTACTTTTTGCGCACCCGAAGTTTCGCAAAATTTGTTGGCCTGAAGTCCAAGTGAATCTAAAATTCTTTGACCTGAAGTCATTTACATTGAGTACTCTTACAAACCTGAAGTTTTGCAAAAACTATTAGTCATGGATCCTTGACGCCGAGATTCACTTGGATGCCATGAATCTCGGAGAGACAATTAAGGAAGAAAATAATGCGTCCCTGCAGGACCGTGCAAAAACCATGATCTTTCTTTCTTTGCCATCACCTCCATGAGGAATTAAAAATAGAGTACCTTACGGTTAAGGATCCACTTACACTGTGAAAAAATTTGAAAGAACGATATGAGCATCAGAAAACTGTGATCCTTCTAAAAGCTCGCTATGACTGGATCCACCTGCGATTGCAGAATTTTAAAAGTAATAATGAGCTTTTGATGAAAAACCACCAGTCCCATCCAACTGGATCTGTACCATTCCCAAAAGTGAATGTGTCCTCATTTCACGGCCATGGACGTGGACGTGGATGCGGACGTATTGGTGGTCGTGGACATGGTCGTAATAGAAAAAAATATAATAATCGTGGTGATCATAATTCCTTATTGGTTCCCAGAAGGAACTTCACACCATCCTATCAGAAGTGGAATTCAAATGCGACCAAGCAGGCAAAAGGAAAAGCTTTGCAGAACAAGCTCCGGAGATATACGATGACAAGCCTTGCTATAGGTGTGGAATGAAAGGCCATTGGTCACGTACCTGTCGTACGCCCAAACATCTAATTGATCTTTACCGTGCCTCAATGAATGATAAAGGGAAAAGGAAAGGAAATTGAAATGAATTTTGTGGATGATGATTTGCCAGTGGATATTACTAACCTTAATATTTCCAACTTCTTTGCTGATCCTAGTGATAATATTGATCATTTGATTGCTGATGGAAATATCCATACCAATTAATGTGCCTTTCTCTAGTATGTTATCCCTTGTGTGTTTTTTTTTGTCTGTATCAGTATGTTTAAATTTTCGTTATATCAATATGTCTCTATTTAGGTTGTACCAATTTGTTTTTATTTTGGCTATCTTGTATGTAAATCTAGTTTGTATTTCAAGTTTGAAGTAATGAAATATATATTTTGTGTATAAAGAAGCATGGATCTGGCTAAGGTAAATGGTGAAGATATATGTCTGGCAGACAGTGCAACAACGTACACTATACTCCAAGATATAAAATATTTTTCGCGTATAACTTTAGTTGAAGCTAGTGTCAATACAATATTAGGTCCAGCAGACCTAGTTGAAGGCTCTGGAAGAGCTATCATTGTGTTACCATGTGGAACAAAATTGAATATTGATGATGCTCTATACTCTAACAAATCCAAAAGAAATTTATTAAGTTTTAAAGATATACGTCTCAACGGTTATCATATTGAGACTATAAATGAAGGGGGCATTGAATATCTCTGTATTACATGCCAGAAGCATGTATTAGAAAAACTCCCTGCTTTATCTTCTGGATTATATTATACAAATATAAGAGTAATTGAGTCACATGCAGTGACGCACCAGAAGTGCTCTGACCCAAATATTTTTATACTTTGGCATGATCGCCTTGGTCATCCTGGGTCAACAATGATGCGCCGAATCATTGAAAATTCACATGGTCATCCACTAAAGAACCAGAAGATTCTTTTAACAAATGATTATCCATGTACCGCTTGCTCACAAGTAAATTAATAGTCAGACCATCACCTTCCAAGGTCGTTGTTGAATGCCCACCCCTTTTATAACGAATTCAAGGGGATATATGTGGACCAATTCATCCAGCGTGTCGACCATTTCGGTATTTCATGGTCTTAATTGATGCATCAACACGGTGGTCACACGTAAGTTTACTTTCTACTCGTAATATTGCATTTGCTCGATTCCTTGCTCAAATAATCCGATTACGAGCACAATTTCCGGATTATCCAATCAAGACTATTTATCTTGATAATGCCGGAGAATTAACATCTCAATCATTTAATGACTATTGCATGTCAATTGGCATTCTTATTGAACATCCTGTTGCACATACTCATACCCAAAATGGTCTTGCAGAATCTTTTATCAAACGTCTTCAGTTAATAACTAGACCATTACTCATGAGAACTAAACTACCTCTTTTTGCTCAGGGACATGCGATATTACATGCATCATCACTAGTTCGCATTGGACCAACTGCATATTATAGTTTTTCACCACTACAACTTGTGATTGGTCAACAACCAAGTATCTCTCACTTACGAGTTTTTGGTTGCTTTGTATATGTTCCCATTGCACCCCCACAACGTACCAAAATGGGTCCTCAACGACGACTTGGTATTTATGTAGGTTTTGATTCTCCATCTATTATTAGATATCTTGAACTTATGACAAGTGATGTTTTTAAGGTGCGGTTTGCTGACTGTCATTTCGATGAGACTGTTTTCCCTCCATTAGGAGAGGAAAAGAAAAAGCCAGAAGAACAACAAGTTATTAATTGGAATGTCCTAACTTTATCTCATTTCGATCCTCACACAAATCAATATGAACTAGAAATTCAAAGGATCATTCATTTGCAAAGTATTGTAAATCAATTACCTGATGCATTCACTGACAGAAAGAAAGTGATGAAATCACATATACCAGCTGCAAACATTCCAGCAAGAATTGAAGTCCCTGTAGGACAGTCTGTCAGTGTTATTGCAAATGCATCTAAAACATGCCAGAAGCGTGGTAGACCAGTCGGTGCAAAAGACACTGTTCCCCAAAAGAGGAAAGCATAAGAGAAATTAAATAAAGAAATTGGCGCTCCTGAAGAGGTCACACTTGCAAAAGGAATAATGAAAATAATTGATCAATCTAAATTTTATAAGCAAGTAGCCCCAGAAGATATGCATGCCCCGGAAGTGGCACAAGCCCCAGAAGTGGCACTAGTACCTGAAAATAATGAGATCTCAATAAACTATAAAGAATTGTGAGATAGAAGTACAATTATTATTAATGATATATTCTCCTTTGCAGTTACTCTTGATATTGTAGGTGATAATGAGGATCTCGAATCTCAAAATGTTGAAGAGTGTCGACGTAGGAATGATTGGCCAAAATGGAAAGAAGCAATACATGCAGAGCTAAACTCATTAGCAAAACGTAAAGTATTTGGACCTGTAGTCCAGACACCTGAAGATGTCATACCTGTAGGGTACAAATGGGTATTTGTAAGGAAATATAATGAGAAAAATGAAATTATAAAATACAAAGCTCGACTTGTAGCCCAAGGTTTCTCGCAGAGACCTGGTATTAATTATGAGGAGATATATTCTCCTATAATGGATGCAATCGCATTTCGCTTCTTGATCAGCTTGAAAGTCTCAGAAGGACTGGATATGCGTTTGATGGACGTGGTTACAACTTATTTATATGGATCACTAGATAATGACATATATATGAAAATCCCTGAAGGATTTAAAATGCCTGAAGCAAATAGCTTGAAACCACGTACCATTTATTCGATTAAGCTACAACGATCCTTATACGGATTGAAACAATCTGGACGCATGTGGTACAATTGTCTCAGCGAGTATTTACTAAAAGAAGGATATGTGAATAATCAAGTTTGTCCATGCATTTTCATCAAGAAATCAAAATCTGGATTTGCCATTATAGCTGTATATGTTGACGATCTAAATCTTGTGGGAACTCCTAAAGAGCTCACCACGACTGCTAATTATTTAAAGAAAGAATTCGAAATGAAAGATCTTGGTAGAACAAAATTTTGTCTCGGCTTGCAGATCGAACATTTACCAAGTGGAATTCTTATCTATCAGTCAACATACACTGAAAAGTCCTGAAGCGCTTTTATATGGATAAAGCTCACCCCTTGAGTTCTTCAATGATTGTCCGATCACTTGATGTTAAGAAAGATCCTTTTCGTCTTCAAGAAGAAGGTGAAGTTCTTGGTCCTGAAGTACCATATCTTAGTGCAATCGGTGCTCTAATGTACCTTGCGAATTGTACCAGACCTGATATAGCATTTGCAGTCAACTTACTAGCACGGTATAGTTCTGCACCAACTCAAAAACATTGGAATAGGGTCAAACACATTATGCGTTACCTTCGGGGAACGACTGATATGGGGTTATTTTATTCAAAAAAATCAAAGCCCCAGTTAATCGGGTATGTAAATGCAAGTTATCTTTCTGACCCACATACAGCCCGATCACAAACAGGGTACTTGTTTACTTCTGGTGGTACTGCTATATCATGGCGATCTATGAAACAGACCATGACTGCAACTTCCTCAAATCACTCTGAGATACTTGCAATTCATGAAGCAGGAAGAGAGTGTGTTTGGTTGAGATTTGTTATACAACATATTCGAGAATCATGTGGATTCTCTTCAATTAATGACAGTCTAACAATATTATATGAAGATAATACCGCGTGTATTACACAGATAAGAGGAGGATAAATAAAAAGTGAATGAACCAAGCACATTTCACTAAATTTTTTTTTTCCACACACGAGCTCCAGAAGAGCCGTGATATTGATGTTCAGCAAATACGCTCGAGTGATAATCTAGCAGATTTATTCACTAAAACGCTTCCAACTACAATATTCAAGAAGTTAGTGCACAACATTGGAATGCGTCAACTAAAGCATCTTTAGGGTTGAACTAATGAGGGGGAGCAATTGATCGAAGAGGTATTGGCATACTGTACTCTTTTTCCTTCGTCCAGGTTTTATCCCACTGGGTTTTCCTGGAAAGGTTTTCATGAGGCAGTTTTAACCTCTGCAATACCATTTTCAGATACACAAGGATACTGTACTCTTTTTCCTTCGCTAGGGTTTTGTCTCACTGGATTTTCCTTAGCAAGGTTTTAACGAGGCATATTCTTAGTGTAGTATTGTGGACCCCAAGGGGGAGTGTTATATATGTTTATGTCTTTGTGTGGGGTCCACTTGTAGTTGAAATATGGTGCACATATTGAGACCATTTTCAATGGCAGTACAGCTTATTCAATAAGCTTTTTGCTGCCCATGAATACAAGGCCTATAAATAGGCATTATGTGTATATAATGAAGATATAAAAATGAAAAACAATCAATTCTCTCTCTCCAGTTTCCGTTTTCTTATCTTTTCTCTCTATGAATATATTGCAAGCTCTTTTACTTTCTCTCACATAATATTACTCTATATACATATTTATATATATATTTACAAGATATATATATTTCAAGGACAGAACAGGTCATTTTGCTTAAGACAATGTTTGCTCCATAATTATATATTTATGGCATATGCTGGGCCAAGGCAAATTCACCTCCAGGGTAGAATGAATGCAGTTTATTAATGGTATTTGTCAGTATTTTGCACCAATGAAAAGGGTTAGAATAACTCTTACGATATGTTTGGAAGTACTGAATTCATGCCGACAAACATAATATTACAATTACAACTCTACTGCATTTAAATTTTTAGACAGCTTGCTATATAAGCTTTGAAGTCAAAATTATTGTCGCACACTTATACCCAAAAAAAAAAAATTTCCTTAAACTGCATATAAATAAATAAAAGTAAAATTAAGAAATTGAAATATGATGGCCAATTGTCAAAAATAAAAATTCACATCATCTCATATTTACAACTGACACTTCATTTTTCCTTTTCCTTATTCCTCGTATCTGGTTCTGTTTTTATTGGCTGATTAGCATCAATGGATAAGATAATGGTTGATAGAATATGAGACATCAACGAAAGGAACTCAATTGGGTCATGGTCACCAACTCTAAAGTCGCCCCATATATATATATATATATATATATATATATATATATATATATATATATATATATATATTTCTCTCTTTCTTTGCCACACCAATCATATCTGTTTCATCAATTAAAGAAACTTAATTGGTAAAGTTAATCAAATTTTG